TTTCTTGCATTTACATGTCATGTTTTGTATGTGAATTTTATGTTAATTCTGGTCAGCTTTAAGAAATATTCCCACGCATCATTTTAGTCCATTTTTAGGTCTAATTTAAGATATTCCATTTAGTTTCCTCAGCTTATAGTCTTAGGTCATTCCCTCAGCATTTTAGTTCATAGGGTTTAGATTCACGAACATTACATTTCATGATTTGCATTATATTTTTTCATCTTATTTGTTCAATTTTTGTAGTTAGTTTCCTATAGGTTTTTGGTCCTATTTTAGTTTTTTAGGTTATTTAAGTCACATTTAGTGTTTGCATCTATTTAGGTGACATTCTCATTCGGTCAAATTACCTAAGTTGCATTTTAGCTTTATTTAGGTGTTGTAGCATTTTTATTTATTTTAGGCATTTTTTCTAATATTTTTCTGTGTCATTTTCATTTGGTTTCGCTTAGATTTAGTTTTGGTTCTATGCATTAAGGTTAGGCTCATTATTTTAGAAGTTTGCATTCAATGCGCTAAGTGTTTGATGAAATGCCTCAATTAAAATTAATGGCCATGCATTTTGGTTTTTGGCTTAGCTTTCTAGCTAGTCTTTAAATTCTGTTTTAGGTCATTATTTGATGCATTCCCATTTCATTTTCATGTTTAATTTTTTTTATACATTTCATGCATTTTAGGCTAGGTTAATATTTTAATTAGGTGAATTTTCAATTAAAAATTCTAACTTTTCATTTTATGTTTTGTTAAGGTTAATTTTCAGTTTTAATTTGCTACTCCAAGTTTTTTTTTTTCCATCTCTCAACTCTTTAATTTCAAATTTTTATACTTTTAAATTTGCTTAGTTTAATTGTAGGATTAGTATTTTTTTTCCATTTTTTAGTAACCTATTATTTTTAGTAACTGCTAATTGTAGTAACTTTCCATTTGGGGCATTGCTTTCTATAATTTGTAGTTAATTTAGGTTTAATTATTTGGTAATTTTCTTGGATTAATTGAAGTTAATTAGTTCACTTCAAAATTTTAGAAGGACTAGATATACCTAAAATGTAAAAATTGATACTTGCCCCTAGGTCTAGGACTCTCATTCCCTGAGGGGACGATGTTTCAAATATTTTCAATTTGTATTACTTTTGTGACCTATACACTTACGGTACTCTTGAAGTTAACATCAATCACCTTTGCATGGTTTGCATGGTTCTCATGCATGGCTACTTTTATTGTCACCTTTGCATACTTTTGCATGGTTTTTGTCATTTTTATTCAAATTATCTAATTTTTTTCAAACAAACCTAAAAATCAAGAATTCAACACATTAAGACATGAAATGAAATAAATTCATAAAAACTTTCAAATTTTAATGGCAAAAATGACCTCTAAAATGCTATAATTTTCATAAACATTAGCTATTGAAATTCATGTTCATGAAACCCTAATATTGATAAATTAATGAAATAATTTTATGTTCATTAAGTGTAGATGAAATTACTAAAAAGTGCCTTTTTGATTATGTATTTTTGTTCATTTTATGAATGAAATTCATGTTCATATTCCCGAGTTTGTGCAAATGGAGTTTTTAACAAATATAAGGATGAATTAGTAGAAAAAAATATGTTCCATTCATTTAACCATCCATTACATATGTTACACAAATAACTTAAATCTTGATGCATATCCCTAAACCAAGCATACAAAATTTCCCTTTCTTTTTTATGCCATTAAAAAGAAAAATTGAAATAATAATGAAAAAAAAAAAAAAACAATAGCAACACATACTAACATAACAACAATCAATTCTCTTTCCTTTTTTTTTCTTTCAATTTCAACCTAAAACACTAAGTTCTCTCTTTTTATTGAAAATTTTCTTCAATTACTTCAACTTCAACACAATCCACAGCATTATCCTTCAACTATGACATTTTATTCTTCAATTTTTTTTACTTGATCATATTGCAACTTTTTTCTCCTTGTCAACTCATTAATGATCTTTTTTGCCTTTAGCATAGAATCATGGATCATACTAGGAATGAAAACCAAAAATAATATCCTATAATCATAATTAAAATTGTCATCAACTCATTTAGCTTAATCAATATTATGTTATCTTTCTTCACAAAATAAAATGATAATTACTAGGTATTGTCATCATCCATAAAATCTTTTATTAGAATTTAAGAGAGTTCATGAAATTCACGTGGGTGCCTTCAAATTGCAATGATAGAAAGCAGTTCTCTTTTATAATCAAATTTCATGGGATAAACACCTGTAATTAACTCATATGATCCAATATCTAAACACTTACCTCTTAATAAGTTACAAAAGTAAAAAACTCAATAATGAAATCAAAAGAACCATGAAAATGAGGTGGTATATGAATTTGAAAATTTTTAGCAAATCTAAACTAACCTTGAAAAGGAAATGTTAGATGAACTCATATTTGAAGATAATTAAAGTGAAAAAAAAAAGTCATAAGCATTTTTCAAAAAGAACAAATCGAAAACTTAACGTCTAAATGTCATTGTTATTGAATTTATAAACAAGTGTAGCTCACTTCTCTTAAAAATTCCTAATTTGAGCACAATCATAAAAGTAAGTATTGGTGAAAGTAAAATCTAAATATTCAAAGAATATATATATATATATATATATATATATATACAAGAAGGGATTTACTTACTCTATTAAAAGTTTTACACCTTTTTTTTATTCTTTGGGTCAAATGGCTAACATTAAAATTATTATTTTGATCCAAATTAGTCATGAATTTAATTTTGATCCAAAGATTAAAAAATAAAGTATAAAACATACTATGGTTTAAGTGGATTTCTTTTATGCGTACATACATATATATAAAAAAAAACTAGTAATATTTTAAAATTTCATTAATATATTTTTAAATAACTTTTGCTTTCCTGTTAAAAGATTCAAAAAGAAAATCCATATTTTTCCTTTCTCTTTTTTTGCTATTGACTGAAATTAAGAAAGAATTTTCAAGAACAAATCATTTTTTAGTAATAAATTGAAAACTATATAAAATAATATAAGAAAGCAAAACTATTTAAAGGGTAAAGAAACCTAATTTCGATGAATAAAAAAGGAAAATGAAAGAAAAATCATATGCTTCAAATAATATCTATCAATTGGGCAGGTCGAGCTAGATTAAGGTCAGGTCAATTTAGTTCTAAGTCATTTTAGGTTTTTAAAAAATTGAGTCAATTTGAGTTGGGTCATTTTGGTTTTAAGTTGTTTTGGGTTTGGGTTCATTTGGGTTCAAATTATTTCAAGTTTAAGCCAATTCAGGTTTGAATTATTTTAGTTCAGATATGACACCTAGTTTATTTAAGTGCAGGTTATTTGAGTTTGAGTCATTTTAGGTTCAATTTATTAATTTTTAGAATTAAATTAAATCGAATTTAAAAAGATTATTTGGTCGAGTTCAAGTGAGATTTTAATATAATTTTATTAAAAAAAAAGTTAAAAAATAAAAATTTAAAATAAGTATAAATATTGTAATTTGAATGTTTTCAATTTAATTTAATTTTTATATGAATAAAACATGTGATTTTATTATACGTAATAAATGTAAACATGATATGATGATATAATATTAAAACAATAAAAAAAATTATATGAATTTTAGGAAAATGTATTATATATTTAATTGTGTCGATATAAATTTTAATACGTATAAGATATGAAAATAAATTTAGTTAAATTGCATCATATAAGCATATGTATTAGACACAGGAAACATTTTTACACTTTTGACATGCTTAGTAATTTTTATATTTATTTTAATTTAACATAAATATATAAATATTATTTTAAACTTTAACTATAATACACAATTACATATTTAATATAATCATATAAAAATTATTTTAAATATTTATTTATGATACACATTTAATATAAAAATATTTTGTATTTTAATAATATAACTACAATATAAATAATTATTTTAGAACAATTGTACTCATTATTTAATAATTTATTTTTTGGATTTTAGGATAATTGGAGTTCATTATATAACTTATTCTAAATTACATGATTAAAAATTAATAATATAATTATAACATAAACATAATGTATATACACAAATTAATGGCTTGTTTTATATACTTTATTTTAAATCTCATGATAGTTGGTACCATGTATAATTATAAAATATTATATAGTATATTCTAAATGATATATTGATATGTATACCTATGATAATTAAAAATATATAATTTAATTTAAATCATATTATAAATTATAAAAAATTTTATAAGTAACATAATACATATATTTAATTTATACTAGTTTAATATTAAAAATATATATTAGTTTGATATTTTTAATAATTTTAATAAGTCATCATTTGTGTTATATTTATTATTTTTATTTATATTATAGTTGTTATTTTTATTAAATTAATATTTTTAAATAAAATTATATTTAGTTTAATACTTCATTTTAATTTTTTGGTTATTTTGATTTTGAGTTTATTTGAGTTCGGATAATTTTAATTTTAAATTATTTTGAATTCAAATATTTTATGTTTGAATTGATTTGAATTCAAATTATTTTTAATTTGTGTTGTTCAAATTCAGATTATTAATATTTTTATAATAAAATCATATTAAATTTGATTTTAATTCAAACAAATTAAACGAATGTTTTGAGTTCGATAAACTTGCTTTGAATCTTCGTCATTAATTCATTTTAATATTGTAAGAAAGAAAGGAAAAGCGATAAAAGCGGGGAAAATAAAAACAAAAAAGGTTTTGAAGTTTTTAATTCGTTGCACGCGCTCTACCCAGCACGTGGTCTGAATCAAACGTTTCATTTTTTCTCTCAAACGAGCAAAGTGGCAAAGACTCGGCATTATTTCACAACAAAAAATTTACACAACGAAAAATTGTAAAAAAAAAAAAAAAAATCAAATCTTTCTCTTCTCTTAGAATACATAACGGAAATCTTGATGGTGATGAATTTTAATTTTATTATTTACTAAAAAAATGAATTCTCTCTCCACATCTTCCACAGTTTCTTCTTCTTCTACCTCTTCAGCGTCTTCGGCTTCTTGGTTTTCCGGCATTGTTAGAGGCCGCCAAGACAGGTCCTCCTCCCTCAAGATGACCGGAAGATCCTCCTCAGGTGGAGGCGTCGCCGCCGATAACGACGGACCCATCAAGGGCAAGAATCAGTTCCGTGGTGTCCTCTTCAAGTATGGGCCTAAGCCGATTCAGGTTCGTTCAATTCAACATTTTGAATCTGTTCTTTATTGGATGGCTTGAATTTGAGTTAAAGCTCAGGTTTTCTAGTGAAATTGGTGGGATTTTGATGATGGGTAGTTTTCGATTTGATTCATTCGTGGTCTAGGGTGAGGTTGAAGAGAATTTTTTTAGTTTAATTGATCTGATAAATGAGTGTAAATTGTTGATTTTTAGGGTTAATTATTATTTTTGATGTAAATGCTGAGTGCTAATCATAGCTTTAAGCATAAAAAGATTGTTGCTTTGGAATGGTGATTTTATATCTAGTGCTACAGTGACTTGATTCTGAAGCTTGGGAAGATTCATAATGATTTAATGGTTTGATTTCTTTATATTCATTTTGGAGAGCATATTCTGATCTATTCTAGTTAGTAGTTAGCCGTTTGTTGAAGCATACCATGTTGTCACTTTCAATGCACTACTCAATTAAACACATTGAAGATAAGTCTTTTGGTCTAGCATTTTTATCCAGTTACTACAGGGGCAGTTTGGTTGTCATGAACTAAAATTTGCATGTTGGTGGTATTTAAAGTGGCTGCAATATATTCCAATCATTTTAATAGTTTAATTGAGCAGGCATTTTTAGATTGCAGGTCCTATTTGCAATTAATAATGGGGGATTAGTTTTATGCCTTATGAGAATACTTGTCATTCCTTTGATAGCTTTAGTTTAACTCTTAAAAATGTAAATGTAAAATGGTTTTATAAGAATTAGATTTGAGTAAAATGTCAACTTGTCTTGATGATGGTGATACTATTCAGCTGGATTTAGCCGGTGAATTGAAAGATCTTATTAGTTTGTCTTCTTGGTAATGTCCTAATGTTGGAACATTACTGACAAGTGGGTATATTTTGCATGTATGGTATGATTTTCAGTTTGTTGGATGAAAATGTGGTGTCATTGGTTATTCTTGTTATTTGTGGATCAGATGCCATGATAATGCTCTCTTACTGGAATTCAGACTTCTGATGGCTTAACATTTGTTTTGAAATTATATATCTCTTATTTTGTCTTTTACCTTTTTAGGTTGCATTCAAAACAGGTGAGTATAAGCAACAACTTATTTTCATTGGTGGACTGACAGATGGGTTTCTAGCAACTGAGTATGTTTTCTATGCCACTACCTTCATGAAAGAAATGAACATCTTTTTATATGAATGAGATGAAGCATAATGATGGAGATTACTGACATGTGCTTTCATTGTTTACCCTGTCCATCTTACCTTAAAGATGAACATTTTTAAGGTGTCAGTGCCATTGTAGACTATATATATTTGTAGAGTTGTTTTATTGGTTATCTTTGCAATGCTAAAAGCCTTAAACAAAGTTGTAACTAAAAATTGTCTCTTGGTAAATTGGGAAGTGAGATAAACCCAAGGAATGACTTGTAAGAAGGCACAAACCTTTTTGGTTTGACGAAAGTATAGAAGAGAGATTGAACATAAAAGATCAATGTTTTTCTATTGCATGGTTGAATGTTCAATATGTATTTTGAATCTTGTGATTCTTAAATGTAACTTTCCTTTTTTGGTTTTCAGATACTTGGAACCTCTTGCAATTGCTTTGGATAATGAGAAATGGTCACTTGTTCAACTACTTATGTCATCTTCATATACTGGATATGGCACCTCCAGCTTGCAACAAGTAAGACATGTTTTTCTATTTAGACATTGATGATTCTGCATGAATCTAGGTTTTTGGGGTTTTCATTGTTGTTTCATTCACTATGACATGAGTTGGATAAAACCCTGGCCTTTCTCTGTTAAATATTTATTTTACATTGATGCCATTCTGAAAATACTGTGGGATCTAACTTGTGTAAAACTGCTTGTCTTACATGGAGTTAAGGGCTTAGCAAGGAATTTTTCTTGCCTCCTACATTTAGATTTCTTAACGACAATCTTGAGTATTTGAAAACACTCTTCCCGTCAGAGCTTTGTTTTTAATGAAGGGGCAGCAGTATAGGATTTATTATTATTATTATTATTATTACTATGATGATGATGAGGAGGAGGAGGACGACAATGATGATGATGTTCACTTGCACATATCAAAGGCATTGGAGCAAATATTTAAGATCGGACTACTACCTTAATGGCCATGCTACTCTATTAATATTGACATGAAGCTATCCATCCATCCCAAAGTTTCAGTACCCTTTCCCCCCTTTACATAGAAGATTTCCATTAATTTAATATCTTTGATTTGATGGAACAGATCTTTTGTTCATTCAAGTTTCCTTAGTAATTTTTAGTAAATCTCACAAGTTAATGGTAGAAAAAACTTGTTTTGGGCAATTCATCTTCAGATTCAAACATCATGCCTTCATATTGAATTCATCTAAAATATTGCTTATAGAATTATATCAAGCTACTTCACCAATTTTGTTTGGACCATGTAATAGTTAATTTCGAAAATAAGTCAAGAATTGTGAGCTAACTAAGCTAGTTGCTTATTATTTTGCCTCTTCCCCTCTTTTTTGGCTGGAGGAGATAAATATTTATTGTGTTTCAGATGTTTTCTATTTAACTTAACCTTCTGGCCAAAACTTTATGGTTTTAAGTTATTAATATTTCACAGTTTACAATTTTGTGGTGGTTGAAAAGAGTGTGTACCTTGATTGTACTCTGTTCCTTGCTATGTCTCTCAAACTTCATGTTATTGTGCTCCTTATTTAAGATGTTCTTGCACCATATGTCTTGAAGGATGCCATGGAGATCGATCAGCTTATCAGTCATCTAATCAATAAAGAAAATTCTGAGGGTGTGGTCCTACTTGGTCATAGCACTGGCTGTCAGGTAGCTGCTGATTTTGTGTTAAATTTGTTCTGTATCCAAAGTTTGTTTGATTGCTTATCTGAGGCATTTTAAGATGAAATAAGGACAATCATTTGCTTGTTTGCTCGTGAATCTAGGATATTGTGCATTACATGCGCACAAATGCAGCTTGTTCCCGAGCAGTCCGTGCTGCCATTTTGCAGGTAGCTGCTATCACTTTGTCAACTTGTTCTTCTTTATATACTTTATCTGCAGCTTATGTACTTTACTATAGAGGTGTGACAAAGTGATTTTTGCTAGACTATTACCATGACCATTTAAGGAGAAATCCTGCTGAGATCCACTTTTTTATGGTTTGAAGTAGAAGAACATCTGTATTACTGTTTCACTGTTTCTGATGTATCATTTATGGAAGTTAATTGAACTTTCTATGGTTTTCAACTAATTTGTGCATATTTTAGTCCAGGAGAATATGTTTGTACCATGAAATAATGATGATTTCCTTTACTTTATTATTGTCTAGTGCAATTTTTTTCTTGCAATTGCCTATGTATTGACTCACTTGCAGCTTTGGTCATTTTGCCAATTTGAATGTTCAGGCTCCAGTTAGTGATCGAGAATACAGGGCAACTCTTCCTGAAACAGCTACAATGATTGACTTGGCTTCAAGCATGATAAAGGAAGGTTGGGGTTCAGACTTAATGCCTAAGAAAGCAGATCCATCTTCCCCTATAACTGCCTATAGGTAGGTACACTAGCACTGTTTTTTATCTTGAAATCACCATATGCTTTTTTTTATTCCTCATTTTACAAAAGCTGATTAAAGTCCCTCTTTCTCAATAAAATATGTATCTCTCTATATGTATTTTGTTCTTTCTGTACAAATTTAACAATATGGGGACTCTGATATAATCATATATCCAATGAGATCAAGAAAGTAGTGGGCACGGAAAACTCTAGGTCACAGTCTTTCTTGTGATTGATTTTTAATCCATGATCTTTTCTTTTTCTCCTTTTATGTTACTCAGCTACTGCCTTCCCTTTTCTTTTTTTGCCCTTGTTGAGAATTCCAGTATTTTGCAGATATAACTCCCTTTGTGCCTACATGGGGGATGATGACATGTTCAGTTCCGACCTTAATGATGACCAGCTTAGAATGAGACTTGGACACATGGCTAACACTCCTTGCCAGGTAGCATACACCTTTGTATTTTTTGTGCTCACAGTAGCTGATGTTGGTAACGTTCATTAAAATGTGAGACAAATCCATAAACATCGTAATTGATAATCTTGGGAAACCAGCCATTTTTTCTTTGTAGTATAGCAATCTCTTTTTCCTTTGGAATCGGGTCATGGCATTTATCATAACATTTTGCTTAATAACTAGGATTCTTAGCAATACAAGTTCAATAACTTAAGCTTGCATATGTGATGGTTTTCGTTCAGGTTATCTTTTCCATGGATGATGAATATGTGCCAGAGTATGTTGATAAGAAAGCATTGGTTGAAAGGTGAGACTAGAAACTCTCTTCCAGTTAATGTTTCTCAGGCAATATTTGTGCATTCACTTCAGCATCCTATTAGCTCTTTGTTGCATCCAAGTGTGTGCATGTCTTTGTATGAGAGAGAGAGAGAGAGAGAGGGAGGGAGTCCTTACCTGATCAAATTATGAAGCTGGTTTCTCAACTCCTGCTGCAGTTAACGTTTGTCTGGAAACATTTGCACATTCAATTCAGCATATTACTGTTTGTAGTACCACTTTATTGCATGCATCTCTCATCTGAGTAAAAGATCATGTCGATTCATAAACTCCTACAGATTGTGCAGAGCTATGGGTGGTGCAGAGAAAGTTGAAATTGAATACGGCAATCACTCCCTCTCTAACCGAGTCCATGAAGCTGTGCAGGCTATTATTGCCTTTGTTAAAAGAGAAGGACCTAAAGGCTGGGATGATCCATGGAGCTAATGCTCTGATATTTCGTACTCTGATTTTCTCTTTTTCGTTTTTTATATTCTTTTTTCTTATTCTCTTCTTTCTCTTAATTCATCATTTTCATCTTAATCATGCTAAGCAATTTTGGTTATTCATAACATGTATAAAAAAAAGGCTGTGTGTGAATTTCATCCCCAGGTTAGTCTGAAAGAAGTTTTATACTTTGTATGGATAAGCCTTGTTTTCCTCCAGAAGGAACCTGTAGTGTTGGCATGTATTGATTACAGAATTTTGTTCTATCCTTATTCATTGCTGGCTGTACTATTTGATGGTAGGATAATTGAATGTACCTTAATTTCCTACTTTTCGTTCATTGTGTTTTTTAATGTTGGTTTGTTTTATAAGAATTTTATTGGAAGAAATAGCACTATTTTGAGCTTCACTGGGAATTTTGATTATTTTTGACACAAGAGGTCATAGTATGGGATAGAAAAAAGGATTGCAGGTGTAATCTTTTAAGAGTTAAGTTTCAGAGTCTGGCATTTTGATTTTTTAAACATCATTGGCATTCAGAAAACTGAATTTTTCTTCTCAAGGAATGTAATTTTTACCCAGGTCAGACTAACATTGCTTTTGCATCTTAGAAAACTTTTGAGAACTCACTAGCAATGCCAAATGGGAAAATTGAGAAGAAAGTGATTTTTGTTGAGACGTCGAGAAATGTGAATCCAAACTATGACTTTTGGGGTTAAATTCAAAAGAGTAAATAATATCCCACTGAGTCCCTAATTTTTTAATCTAGTTGTTAATAATCATTTTTGGACAAAAGTAAACAACATGCACCCATTAAGTTGAATGATAGTGGCATATGGCAACTGAGCTTGCTAACATGAATGCAGACATGCATGCTAAAGTGTAATTTATAGTATTTTAAAAAATTTATTTTGCAAATTTTGCTTCTCTTTCGTCTTCTCTCTTCAAAAGGGTTTTTGTCTCTTCTTTCTTTGTAGGTTTTCTTTTCTTAGCAAAACTTTTAGAAAAAGATTTAGCGAAATTTTTTATAAATTTTAAATTTTATATATGCATACATGTTGGCAAGCTGTTGCATGGCACCGATAAAAGTGTCAAATGAGTCGTATTAGATTAACATGGTCCATTAAAAAAATTACCCATACAATAATAGGCCATATTGGCCCAACATTATTATTTAATATGCCAAGTTAACATAGCTCATAAAAATTAAAAGTATGGTCCAGCACGATATATAATCCATAGCTCTTGTAGATCATGTTGTACCTAGTATGATATTATTTTTTGTACCACATCAGGTCAAACATGATCCATTAATAATTTTTTGAATTTTTTTATAAATTTTTTTTGCAAAAAATTCTTTGCTTTTTAACTATCTTTAAAAATTAATTAATGAAATTATTATGTGAGGTAAATAATTTATATCGTTCAACAAAATATCTATGTTTACGAGAAAAAGTTAAAAAAAAATTTTCATAAAAAATATGTGAAATTAACAAACATTGATATTCCGTCTCTAAATTTCAAAAATAAAGAGCATACTCATTTATGAAATTAACATTTGATTTCTCATTCTTATTATCTAATAATTCACTTATATATATATGCTTTATCTTAGGCCAAGTTTTTTCATAATCAGTTGTTAAGAAATATACATTACATAATTTCATTTTCTTTAGAAAGTGATTGGTCAAAATGAAAAATAGTAATTTTATCTATTATTAATTTAAATATTTTATAAGTAGATTTAAAGATATAATTTTATTTTCCTAAACTATTAACATAAAATACTAAGAAAGCAAAAGAGCATTTATAATATGATAAGAGTAACATGAAATACAACTCAAGAACTTACAAATTAAACTCATTTATAGTAATTATGGACCAGCACGGCACGACATGACACATTAATGCTTGTATCCCATGCCATACCGGCCCATGTGCCACATGTTGGCATCGGCTCGTAATGGATCGTTCAATATTTGCCCAATGGGCTAAAAAACTCTAGCCCATCACACAATTTTATATGCATAGCCCATGACTAAAATAATGGGCAATGTCATTATGTCGAATTGGACCTTTTCATAAACTGCTTAATCCTTTTAACACCTTTAATCACCATTATTCAACTTAGTGGCACATGTTATTGACTTTTATTAAAAAGTTTTTATTTGAATAAATCTCAAAACATTTAGTCCTAAATTAGTTAAAATAAAATATTTAGTCCTTAATTAAAAATTACCTAAAAATATTAAATTCTAAATTGAGTATTTAATAATTGCATTAGGTACTTTCCAAATGAATTGGTCAACTTTAGTTGTGTCATCTTTGCAATAATGAAAATGAATTAAAGACTCAACTCATTGAAAATATATTTTTCCTTTTTTACCCAAATTATATTAATGGTTATATAACAAATACTCAAAATTTCAAAATCCAACAAATTATTTTGAATGATTTTTAATTAATTGCAAAAATAGAAAGAATTGTTAGGTCAAACTTATTCTTTTTTTAAAGGAAAAGAAAGAAAGGTCAAATTTTGTATTTAAAATGATAAAAATTCACATTTAAAAAAAATATGCTCAAATTGGGATTTGACTTTGAAAATGTTGAAAAAAATACATCAAACATGATTAGAATCTGCAAGCGCACAAAATCATGCAAGTAGAAAGTAAAATATCATTCCCACGGAGTTTGAAATATGAGAGTAACAAGTACTTAAATTGTCTCCCTTTACTTATACTTAAAGAATTCAAGTAAGATATGCAAAAATAGAATATCAATTTTGAAAATTAAACTTAAAACATGCAGTAACTATAACCAATTTGAATACAAACCTAAACTAATTCAAACAACAAGTGAGTAAAGTAAATAATATGCAATTAACTAGAATTAATCAAAATTGAACTAATCAACTCCAATTAACTTGAACCAAAAGTAATTAATATAAATTCTAACTAAACAACATGCAATTAACATAATTCAATTAAATCTAAGTATGCAAGAATGCTTAAAACATAAATCAATGTAAACATGTAAGAAACTAAAAATTAGAATGCAACTGAATGATTAAATTGAAAACTAGCAAGTGAATATAACTTATATAATTATGCAGCAACTAATTAATCAATTAAACATGCAAAACTAATCAACTTAAAAACAGCTGAATATGATATAACCAATTAAAAACAAAGCAAATAAGATCTAAGCTAAATAAACTCAATTATATGCAAAATTATGAAAATTAAACTTACCAACTTAAAACTAAACCTAATTGAATTAAACAGCAAATAATTACAACAAATTTTATTGTAACTTAGCTTATCTAACCCTAATCAACTTTTAAAACATGCAAATAAACTATTATTAAACTTAAATTAACCTAAGAACATGCAATAAATCTAAGATGCAAGAAATCAAACCAAAATCAACCTAAAGTATGAAAGCTGAAATTGTTTTGAACTTGAATTAACCTTAAACACATGCAATAGATACAAAGAAGCACTCACTACTCAATATTAGCATTAAATGAATCTAAAACATGTAATAAGATTAAGATGCAATTAAAATCAAACTAAATTTTATGAACCAAAAATAATATGAATGATAGAAATATGCAACCCAAAATTATTATGCAATTAAACATGCGACTTTAAACAAATCTTAAATTTCAACCATGCAAATCTTGCAAATAGGAAATAATATGAACCTAATCAAAATTTTAGAACAATAATAAAATGCTATAGGACAATTGGAACATAAATTATTAAAAAAATAACAAACCAATAGCTAAATTGCAATACCTAATTAGAATAAACAAAGGTGCATTTGAAACTAAGCAAGAATTGAGACTGACTTAACAAGATTTATTAAATCGAATAAATTTGCATTAAAACTTCAGCTAGCAAGCAATCAAATTAAAAAGAACCTCAAAATCAAATTTTATTGAACTTGAAAATTAAAAGAAACTTTGCATAAATCGAATGTAAAAAGAAATAGAAAATTAAAGAACAAGAAAGCTTAAAAGAAATAAAAAAAAAAAACTATAGATTGGTTTGTCACCCCAACCTCATACCCCTTTTTCCTATAACCTAAGACAAGCTATTTATAGACCAAAAAATTCAATAAGTGTTTGGCCAAATTAGACTCTAATTGGCAGCTTCTTGTTTTGATTAGAATATACTTCTTGAATGGGAAGATCCTTCTTAAAGTGAATCTTGGTTGAATTGAAGTGAATCTCTTCAATAAACTCTTCTAGATCATACCGTGTCTTCTAGATGATAAATAATTTCTACCCTCTTTTTTTTTTTTTTACATATATCAACTTCTAGAATAAAAGAAAAGAAAAAAAATTGAATCTTGCAAATCAAAAATTAATTTTGGTTTAAGCTCTAACCTTCTAGAAAGTCTTTTCAATTTGCTTCATCTTGAAACTCTTCATGCATGTCACGACTTGCCACTTCTTCTTAGAGAACTTTTAGAGTTTTCTTTCAACTAAATTCTTGTTGTGCTGCCTCTTATTAATTCTCTTTCTATTTTATGCAAATCCTACTTTAATTAGGAAAAAAAATACAATCCTAGTAAGAATAGGAATGCCAAATCCAAATAGGAAAAATTAAGGGCTATTTAGTCTTTTCCAATGTGAACTGAATTGCCACCTCATCATGCCACTTAAGCCTCCAAGTCAACTCTTTTTTAATAATAAGAAAAGACTTGTTGCCATATCATCCATTAATAATCTCATTCATGTGCACCTACATAAGTTATTATGGACTTGCATTCACTTAAAATTACAATTTTACCCTCTATTATAATCGAACATGCCTAGCTTGATTCTTTCATGAATTTACTCAATTGTTCATCAAGATTGAGCAATTCTAACTCCTTCAAAATCAACAAAATCAATCTTGAACAAATTTAAGCTCTCTCTTTCCAAGATTTCCAAGAAATTCAAAAATCACCAAAAATATATCAAAAACATTCTAAGAATCATTCTAATGCATTAAAAATCATCCAAGATTGATAAAAAATTATCGAGATTCTTCAAGATTGAATAAGAATCAATCTTTCTTTCAAGATTTCCTATAAAACAAAAAATTAAGCCTATTAGGAGTAAAAAGATCTTCATTTAGCTAAGAACTAAGCAAAAACCAATAATTTAAACACTAAAAATAACTCTATAATATAGATTTATCAAACCCCTAAACTTGAACTTTTGCTTGTCATCAAGCAAAATAAAACTAAGTAGAGACAACATGTTAGCTATCATAAAACAAAATCCAAATATTAGATTCTCATAAGTTTTCAAAAATTGCATGATGAATATAACTTAGAAAAAATCATAGGTATAGATTAAACACCAGATTCATTCAAGAGTAAGCTCCTTTTCAATTGCAAATTTTCTTATGTATGTGAATAGTCTATCTCATATCAATGCAAGATATTCAATTAAAGTTATGCAAACATGAAATTGACACATCACTACAAAGCATGCATAAATTTCATAAGTTTGCTTTTTACATCTCTCTCAACTAATGTAGCCACACTTAACTAAAGATCAATAAGTCTTTATTAAGCTTATAATGTTAGGCTAGGATTAATATATGATAAAAAAAAATTTAGGATCATAACCCTTACACATGCATTATTTAAGATCTTTCACTTTTTGATAAGAAAGCTTTTCAAAAGAATTGTACACCCCTAGACTTAAATTCTTCTTTCTTTTTCTTTCTTTTCTTTTCAACTAAAACAATAACTTTTTATTGGATTACATGTATACTTGCTATTTTCATGTTTCCACCTTTCTTTTTCTTTTTTTTTTTATATATTATGTTTGTTTTTCTTTGAAAGTTGTTTTCAAATTTTCTTTTCTT